GGTCCCTCCAGGCCTCATGCTGTCCTTTGTCCACCCAGCAGCCCCCAGTGGCCTCTCTCTGATGCCCACTCGACACTCTTCCCTATTTAAAGCGGTCACCCTCTGTCCCTTGGCAGCCATGCAATGGGTTCAAGCCCCCATTAGCCCAGATCAAGGTGGGGGGGCAGAATGAGTGTCCCAGCCCACCGGTCGTTCAGTCAGGAGACATGTACAAGGGCTCCAGACCCCCATGCTGGGGACACAGGTGACAGACAGGGCAGCGCGTGCTGTTGTCATGGAGCCCACGCTCCCCGGGACATTCCAGCCAGGACCCTCCCCGTCTGGTGGCTGCCCGCTCAGGTCTGGTTGGGGCATGGGGCACAAGGGGGCATCCTCCAGAGTGAGAGCCAGGGTGTGGAGCCTGGGGGGAGAAGGCGGGCCACCCGGGAGTAGGGTGTTTGGCACTGGGCAGTCCCCGATTGAGAGTGGGGGTGGGTTTAAGGGTCAGGGGACATGGTATAGGGCAGCGGTCGCCAACTGGTGGTCTGAGGGATAAAGAGTGAGAGATGGGTAAAGTGCCAAGGAGTCCCTGTAGATACAAGGCCAGGTGGCATGATGGTTGGGGCTTTAGACTTGAGACTCACATTGTCTGAGTTCAAACCCTGCTTCTGCCACGTATGAGCTGTGTGACCTTGGGTACGTTATTTAACCTCTCTGTGCTTCATGTCCTCACCCATAAGGCAGCCTTGGTGACAAAGCATCTACCGTATAGGGTGATCATGAACATTAAATGTGTTACTACATCTAGGCTGCTAAGAAGTGTGCTTAGTACATGTTGCTACTAAATTAAACTGTACAACAAAATTGCCAATATCTGACCACAATTTTAACACGTTATCTCACGTGTCTTTCTTTCTCTTTTCTCCTTCCCTCTCCCATTCTCTCCCCTCTCCCCGCCCAGTCACTCTAGTTCAAACCCTGGCTCTACCACTCACCTCCATTAGCAGTTTGGGAACGTGGGTGACGTCTCTGAACCAGTTTGCTCACCTGAGACAGGGAGATAATAATAGAAGGGACTCTGCCGGGCTGTGGGCACAGAGGCGGCCAAGCGTGGACGCGCTCATCCGGGTGCGCCCACGATCAGGTCTGTGAACACAGAGCCGGGCGGCTCTGTTCTCAGGAGAAAGTGTGCCTCCAGGCCAGCTCCTCACCGCAGCCTGCGGCCTCTGCAAGTGGCCCCAACGGACCGGGAGGACAGCAACTCACACAGGACGCATAAGCGTGAGTGTGAATGTGTGATGCTTGTCACTGTGCAAGTGTGTGCCTGTGTGTGCGTGCCTCTGAGGGGTGCCCGTGTGAGTGTGTGCCTGTGTGTGCGTGCCTCTGAGGGGTGCCCGTGTGAGTGTGTGCCTGTGTGTGCGTGCCTCTGAGGGGTGCCCGTGTGAGTGTGTGAATGTGTGTGCACACGTGTGACTCCGTGTGTGTGTATCGGGGCTGGTGGTGGGAAGTGGACCTTGGTTTGCTAGAAGAAACGAGCTCTGGGCTGAGTCTCGCGGGATCACCAAGAGGAGATGTGTCTGGGGAAGGGCAGGGCAATGGTGACGGGTGTCCTGGACAGACCCTCAGGTGCGCAGGGACCCGGCTGGGCAAAGTGGAAGCCAGCCAAACAGATGAGTTAGGCGTGTGCACTGGGGGCTGGTGATGGAGGGCCCTGGGGAGCCATGGACGGTTGTAAGCAGAGGCAAGAGTTCTCGTGCTGGAAAAATGGCCTGGTTTCTGCACCGGCACCTCGACGCTTGCCAGCAGATGCCCGTCAGGAGGCCATGGCCCAGGTGGTTGAGCAAACAAGCTTCAAGGTCACAGTTCCTGGGTTCAAGCACTGGGAAGGGGCAAATCACTTACCCTCCCAGCTGTCCGCTCCCCACCGGTGGGTCACTGAGCAGCTATGCATGCCGGTTTCTCACACCCCTTGTACTTCATCAGTGGAGTCAGCACTCACTCGCCCCAGTTTACAGAGAGCAAACTGAGTCACTCATCCAGGGAGAAGCCAGGACTCGGCCCCAGGTCTGACCAGCTTGGGCTCAGGCATGTCCCGCCACAGAATGGTGACATTCTGGCCTCCTCCAAGATGACAAATACTTGGTTCGAGCTGCCAGTAATCAGAGCCTGGCAGCCCCACATCGTCATTCCCCCAAGGCTCAGAGAGGGGAAGCCACTTGCCATAGTCACACAGCAAGCGGGGCAGCCAGCGACCCCCAGGCTTGTCTGACCCAAAGTCCACGCTCTTCAGCACATAGTAGGTGCTTTAAAGTCAAGTGACTTCACCCTGGCCAGTGTGCTAAATGGTTAGAACATCAGGCCCTCATACCAAAGGGTCGCAGGTTCAACTCCCGGTCAAGGACATGTACCTGGGTTGTAGGTTGGATCCCCAGCCCAGGTCAAGGCACCTGCTGAAGGCAACCAATTGATGTGTCTCTCTCACATCGGCGTTTTTCTCTCTCCCCCTCTTTCCCTCCCTTCCACTCTCTCTAAAAATCAGTGGAAAGATCCTCAGTGAGGATTAACCAAAACGAAATAAAAGCAAACGACTTTAAAGATGTTTGGAAAGGTTGGCAGAAGAGGTAGCTGCGGCCTGGTGACCGGCACAGAGTAGGTGCCTGATAAAGGCTTGGCATCTGAAGACCCACTGTGTCCAGCCTGTGCTGGAAGCCTCGTGTACAGTATCTCCCATGATCCCACCGTGGCCTCATGAGCTGGGCCCCATTTTAGTGGGGAAAACTGAGGCTCCGAAAGGTTGCGTCCCGGGCCAGGCTGCACAGGCAGCAAGACTGCCCAGCGCTGAGGACAGGCCTGTGTGCCAGGCCGTTCATAGAGAGCCGACACCCCCGAGCAGCGGGATCTTAATATAGTCATTTTATAAAGAAGGAAATTGGTTTTGCGGCTCAGCCACTCGCCCGGGTCACAGGTGCACGCTCACTGAGCCTATGCCGTGTACCTCCCATGGGATGGGCCTGGGCGCTCGACTCTGGCCCGGAGCCTGCGACCCTTCGCACCAGCCATGTCTCCTTACACTGACGCCTGGCCGTGAGCGAAGCAGCATCCGCGGGTTCTCACTGAGCGTCTCCGCCTCAGATGCTGTCCTGTGCCGGGGCCTAGAGCTGATGTCCCCCCCCAACCCTTGTTAGAACACAGATCCCAGCCACAGCTGTGACTGAGCCGTCGCGTGGACTGTCGTGGCAGTGGGAGCACCCACCGCTGGGAGGACCCCGTCAGCTGCCATGGAGGAAGGCTCATACGCAGGTGAGAGGACTCTCTGGCGCTGACATTGGCACAAGCCAGAGCCCCGACCTCCTCCTTCCACCCCGGCTCCTGGGCCCTCCCGGGAAGAAGAGTGAATTTCTAGGAAAGGCCCACTGTGGGGGGGCGGGCACAGAGCCACTCAGAAGGGGGAGCCGGGCTACCTCCCTGCTCTGACTCAACAGCCTCCCAACAGCAAGGCGGCTCCAGCTGGGGCCCGGAGCCCAGCCGGGTGGAGGAGCAGGTCGCAGGGGACTCAGAGCACGTGAGGTTCAGCGTGATGAACCCTCACAGCCAGGATGAGGGGCGGGGGGCTGGACCTGCAGTGGAGCATCAAGGTAGAGTTTTGTGGGGGCAGGAGCTCGGGTGAGGCCTGGGGTCCTGACATTAGTGGGGGTGGCTGAAGCTGTACAAGGGCAGAGGGGCAGGAGAGCTGGGGGGCTCGGCCACCTGCGGAGGAGCACACGGAGGAGCCCCCCCCCCCCCGTGGGTCTCTCTGGAAGGGCCTGGCCCAGGGTCAGGCTTGCTGACGGCTGCAGTTGGGGCGGAAGGAGCAGCAGATCTGGGGTTGGATGGGCAGATGCGCAGGTGGACACGAATGTAGAGGGAGGGGAAGAGGGGAAGGGGGGCTCTGGCAGGCTCCCTGGCCTTGGGGCCCTGAGCCCGGGGAAGGGACAGGGCGGAGCGGGAGCCCAGCCTCACCCTGCGCCCTCCTCGCCCCCTCCCCTGGCAGACGTCTGGCAGCTTCGCAGAGGGCGGCGGCAGTGCTGCAGGCGCGGGACGCAGGTTGCGCTGTTGGGGCTGGTGACGGCCATACTGTGGGCTGGGCTGCTGACCCTGCTTCTCCTGTGGCGTGAGAACACCCCCAGCCCCATGGGCCACCCCCCTGTTCCCTCCCAGACACCCACTCCAAGATCCTGGGCCCAGCACCTCCCTGGGAGCCAGTTCTCCCAGCACGGCTCCCACTTTGCCCCTCCAGCCCCTCTCACGTCTCTTGCTCCCCTCTCAGGGCCCCCCTCCCACTCAGCAACCCCATCTCCCGCCCTTTGGGCACCTCCCACATGATATCCCCGAGGCCTCCACCCCAGCTGGCAGGCAGGCTGTGGGCCGGTGGGGCAGCTGAAACACCTTCCTCTCCTCCCCTCTCCCCTGCCCAGACCGGGACACCGTGCAGGGCCTGAGACAGCTGGAGGACATCACTGCCCGGAACGGTATGGGGGCGGGGGCAGCGTGGGAAGGGCTAGGAAACCCGGCTCTTGTCCTGCTTCTGCCACTGACCACTGTGGGATGTGGGAGGCGAACTGGGCTCCAGTGTCCCCCCAGGAACCCCAGGGTCAGCCTGTGTCCCTCCTTCCCATGTGGGGGTGAGCCCAGTGACTCTCGGAGGGCAGGGGAGGGCTCTGAGAAGCGCCTGGTGAAATGTTATGTAACTGCTCCGCGCCTCAGCTTAGTCACCTGTGAAATGGGCATCATTTCTGTGCTGTGAGGTGGAAACGAGCTGAGATTGTGCAGCACTTAGAAGGCCCCTAACACCCAGTGAGCTTTCACTAAATGCCTGCCGCTTTTACATTTAATTCTGGGGCAGGAAAGGCACACAAATGCTTTCTATTGCCGGCACCTTCCTGAGTACTATTGCCACCAAAATTAAAAACCCAAAGCTGCAGCCACTGTGACTGTGTGAGGGGGTCCCTGCACTTGGGGCTGGGGGAAGGGGTGGGGGGTTCAAGGACCTGCCTGCCTGGCTCCTGAGGACACGTGTTCCCTCCCCTCCCCAGTCTCTCAGGTTTCCAAGGACATGGAAGGACATAAGGGTGACCAGATGGCCCAGAAAGCCCAGGGTGAGTGGCTTCAGGGGGGGTCTGGGAGAAAGAGGAAGGGAACTGGGGGAGCCTGTGGAGACAGTGCTGCAGACCACCTGTGAACTGCAAAGTGAGCAGGCGGCCCTAAGCCCCAGGCTCGGAGCCAAGGGGGCCTGTGTGGGGAATGGGTGGCCCTGACAGATTTGCTCACCACTGAGCCCTCTGCCTGCAACCAGTGGCCCAGGTGCTGCAGAACATGGAGGAAATGCAAGCAGAACAGAAGAGAATGGAAATTCAG